TTTTCAAAAGATTTTCATTTTTATTTCCCGGCCCAAAAAAAATAAGAACATTGCCACAATCAACTTTTGTTGTTCAAAGAGTTCAAATTAAGTGCACTAAAAGTATAGAAAATATACTAATTCTGAATTTACCAGCAGAGTTTGAGGTGGTTTTTAATTATTTTGGGGAAAACTGTCATGTCTTATGTCGAATTTTAATTCCAGAATTAAGTTCTTAATCTTCATTTTTTATCTAACACTTACCATAAAATCCAGTAAAATGCTTTTACATTTCAGTGAACTATAAGTTTAATGTTCATCTTGTTGTGGTTGCATATGCTCACTGGTCTGACGTAATCAGCCCGTGCCCACGAAACTCCTTTTAGCAAGGAGCGCTAGTTTACTCCTGCCGTTGGCAACAGCCGTGAGCGCCATTCAGATTACAGTCCCCAATTCCTCAGTTCCGTCCCCAATTTTGATGGAGAGCACCCGGGGAGGACGGTTCCGACGGCCTCCCTCCCCCGACGGTAAAGGGATGGTGCACACGTCCCCCGTCAACTATCAACTATCAACTCCCCCCCCGGGGGTCGACGTAGAGAACTCTGCGAAGCAACTGGCTAGGATCTTACCTAGGCAGTCTCGGCCACGGGGGTATAAAATTTATGAACTTGGTGGTTCTGAAGGCTCTGGGAAAGGTCACTTATTGGCCGGCCCCGGAGTCTGGCACGTCCTAGCGCGGCGTGGTTCTAGTAACCCGGGGGTCTCCCCCGGGGTCGCTAGGTAATGTCCCGCTGCGACGGGCTCGCCCAAGCGACTGGTAGGAGCATTTGACGACCGGTGCTGCCTGGTGTCGTATCCGGGTGGTGCGCTGCTCTCCTGGAGAGTAATAGTGGAAGTTGAACTTCCACGATATGCCCAAAGGGGGAGTGGACCTGCAGTGAGATTGAGTTCTCGGAGCAGGGAACCAAAACTCTCTTATCCCCCTCTTCCCTTCCACCAAACCACACGAGAGGCCTTTCAGCTCGCCGCATATTTAGAGTGCCGCCATGCCGCACCGACACTATACATTTACAAACATCCGTGCCTACTCCGGGATTCAAACCCGGGCCCTTCGGCACGGCGGCCAGCGATGCTAACCTCTATACCGGTTGGGCGGCAATGTTAATCTTTTCTCTTAAAAGTGTTTGCTGATGATGTTTTGTGCGGTAAGGACGCAGTGTCAAATTCATAGATAAAATATACATGCAAATCTCTATTTTAATGCAAAAATTTTGTCCATCGTGGTACATTTTAATTAATATTATCATAATTCACCAACAGGTGTGAAAGATCCTTTGATTCGATCTCTGGAGTGTTCTTCGTCAAAATTGGCTAGGTTATTTGATTATAGCAAAGCGCATAACAGTTATCTGCAGGTGAGGAGAGACGCCTTCGTATAAGGCTTTCAAAGAAAAACGCTATACATGTGTAAAATCATGAAAATCAACCTGGTAACTAAGCCATTCGGATTACCAGTATTCAACGGTCTTATGCTCGGCCTCTGATGGGGTTAATCGAAGTTAGTCTCAACTTGCCTGCTGTCGCGGGGTAAAATCAAACGCTCTCTGTGATGCACCTTGGGCAAGGTGCATCACAGAGATGAACCGGTATAATGACTAATGGGTGTTCACCATTCTTGACGAACGCATTTGATTGCAAGTGTCTAGTAGTTTGAAATATCACCGTTATTTAACAAAATGCATCACGAATTTCTCTTAAGTGATATCGTGAAGGTAGAACTGCTTAAAATTCACTCTTCCATGGAGTTTGTGGTTACTTCAGAATTCAACTGAATTTCTTCTAAAGTCTCATAAAAGAAATCCTTGTGAAGAAAAGAATGCTTGTGTCCTTTCGTTGTACTATTATTATACATGTAGATAACGGCACAGATAAGTTCTAGCTGTATTAGTGAAATTAAAGTATTTTTCTTTCATGTCGTGGACATCCCTATCTACTAAAAATTATGATAAGCTAACTGTGTTTCCCAAACATTTATGTTTACAGCCCGCTTTTAGAAACGCAAAGAAACGCATTTTTACAGAAAATATATAAGCATATAAAACAGCAATAATGGGGTTGGATTACTTGTATGTTAATGAAATTAGCAGTAATTGCACTGTCATTTTAGCTAAATGAATAATAAAACATAAATAAGGACGTGTGTTTCCGGTCATCCGTAAAGCTTTTTTGTTGCCATTCTGCAAAGCATAAGATAATATTTATTTTTCAAATGTAATCATTTAGCTCGGGGGTATAAAAGAAGTCTGTTGCAAATCGCAATATATTTGTCACCCAACTTTTGCAAACAAGTTATTTAAAAGAAATGCATTGCCACTAGTCATTCAACAAAGCGCAATTTTTTTCTTTCTTAATTTTTCAATTTCTAACAAACGCTAAGTAGAAATCTTACATATAAAAATCCTGAAATGTCTAGATGAAATTGTGCGCTCTTGACCATCAAAATAAGAAGAAAGCCATCGTCTACACATAAGATTTGGAAAACTCACCATACCGCGTCACCATACTATTGCTCTCACATCACCTGTCTCAAGGTTCGCGTTGCCATAGTTGCGCTCCCGCTATGAGTGAACGCCATACCTATTAAGTAAGTTCTAGTTGCTTTTTTACAAAAATAGGTATTCACATTTCTACACAGCCTTAATTTTTAAGTGACGCCACTAATATTAACACCAGTGTTGGATTCCCGCTGCCAGTTCCTATTAAAACATTTATCAGAACTACTATTTCGCCTAATTGATTTGGCACACATGTGAGTGTTCCGAGTAGAACAATGAGTTTACTTTAAACTATGTTCTTTGAAATTGTAGAAGATATGACACAGATAGGAAGGGTACAATTACCCTTTATTTTCCCCAGTTTACTGCTATTCCGGCATTTCGGGATACAAACTAATTGACTGCAATGCCTATTCCAGGAGACCAAGCGAGTTTAGTTATTATAATATTTTTTACGTGTTCAAAGGATGTATGCCTAACGGAAGGATGTATGCCTAAAAATTGCAAAAAAATTGCTCCAACTGAGTGCAAAAAAAATTGCCCCAACTGGGTGGGAAAAAATTGCCCCAACTGGGGTGGGGAAAAAATTGCCCCAACTGGGGTGGGAAAAAATTGCCCCAACTGGGTGGGAAAAAATTGCCCCAACTGGGGTGGGAAAAATTGCCCCAACTGGGGTGGGAAAAAATTGCCCCAACTGGGTGGGGAAAAAATTGCCCCAACTGGGGTGGTGTGTGTGAGGCGTTGGGGAAATTTTTTTATTTTCAAAATATATGAGTTTAAAAAATGGGAATATAGTTCTTTGGTAAATCAACACCTGGTGCAAAAAACTTCGTCAGCCAACTTCTATGAATATCAGGCGATTGGCCAAGTCAACAAACGGAGCATGTTAACAATGCACATATCAGTTGCTAAAGATACTTATGTTCCTGGAAAAGTGGGCTACGAAAAGTAGATGTATTTAATAAATAAAGGTCAACAAAACATTAAATAACGCACATTTGGACGTAATTTTTTTTTAAAAAAATCTAAACCTTTAAACCTTTCAGATTTTTCGAAATTTCAGTCGCTCCCTTAGACTTCTCCAAAATTTTACGTATAATTGTACAAAGTAAAAAAAAAGCCCCAACTGGTGGAAATAGCCCCACGGGTGGAAAAAGCCCCAAAAGGGGTGGGAAAAAAATTGCCCCAACTGGGGTGGGGAAAAATAGCCCCAACTGGGTTGGGGAAAAAATTGCCCTAACTGGGGTGGGAAAAAAATTGCCCCAACTGGGTTGGAAAAAATTGCCCGAACTGGGGTGGGAAAAAATTGCCCCAACTGGGGTGGAAAAAAATTGCCCCAACTGGGGTGGGAAAAAATTGTCCCAACTGGGGTGGGAAACAGAAATGTATATTTTGCCAGGATTTTTTTGTATACTTTGCGAGAGTGATATTTAGTGACTGTCGATTGTCGTTATGTATATATTAAATAAAGTCGGTTCCAGGAGGGGCCCTTGTGGAACGAAGCGTAAAATAGCTCTTCAAGTCAAATTTGTGCCAGAAACGCGATTGACAACGAGTCTACCTGTCGGGTAAGATTTAATTATTTTTCTGACATAACCTAAACCGTATATTCTGTATATGTGTGTGCTCGCCCAAATGATATAGAAAACTTTGGCAGTGTTCTGAAAAAAAAAATGCCTTGTTTCTTTTGAAAGCCTTCAGAAATTATTTCTGAATTTATAATGGTAATTTATAATTAATTTATAATGGAATTTATAATTGGTAATTTATAATTGCTGTCTGAGAGCAAAATTATGCGGGATTGGTACATTATTTTGATCCAAGTAGTCTTTCATTCTTCTAAGAGGTATCATTTCCAAGATTTTAGTTAATAAAGGGAGGAGGCTGTACAGAATTAGGTGCCTTATTGGGCTTCAGGTCTAGTGTTATAATTGCCGTCTTCCAGATATCAGAGAAATATTTTAGAATAATGCTGAATATTTTCGACGCTTTTTATATCAAGTCGGTTGGGATCCCCTTTATTATATTTTTTATGCATTCGATTCCTGGGACCTTTTTAACTCATGGATTCTTAAGTAGCCAAAGATTTTCGATGGAAAGATTGGAATAATGTTGATTGTGCGTGGTATTGTGGAGTATTGGAACACGAAATTTGAAACGATGAGTTTTGTTTTATTGCCCTGAATATTTTTTATGCGAAACTGAGATTCAACATGCTAAGCCAGATGTTCTACAAAGTAACATATGCAGCAGTTTTAAGTGAGCATTTCATAACTAAACAAAAAATGTAATAAAATATCAAATTTTCTAAAAATGGTTATTCAGAGTTTAAGAGATTTCCGTAGTTCTTTTAGAACATATTTAATAATTTCCTAAGAGCTACTGTTGCAGCCATTCGCTTTTGAAATGAAGTGATTTCGGAATTGAAACAGACGACCAGTGAACTGAATTGAACTGATCGTAAGTTGTCAGAATAACAAAACACGTGAAACGTTAATTTGTTCCGTTTCTAATTTATGTATATATTTTTTTATAATTAAAAATTAGAAAGAAATAAAGAATGTCTTTTTCCTTCATCGAGGAAATTTTCTTGCATAAGCTCCCGGACGTTGTATCCGAAGAACTAGAAGGTAACTTTCGTTTTCTTTGGTTTTATTGTAAATTTTGGGTTATTAGTGGTGGAGATACAACTCGAAAGGTTGTACGTGAATGTGTAAGGTTGTACGTCTGCTGTGAGTTTAAGCTTAACATGTTTTAAGGTATGTGAACAATTTATGGAAAATTTACTTGTTGAAACAGTTAACGCAAGGTTTCTATTTAATACTTGTGTACTTGGTTTTTTCGGTCCATTCCTCATTAAGTATAAAAATAAGAGAAATGATTGTTATGTAGAAGTGTATGTTCCTATATTTATTGTTTAGATAATAAATACATTTAGAAGTAGTAGCTGATTAAACTGCAGATAATACTATTAAAAGTACTTCCTATGATTAGAAAATTTATTGCTGGACGTGGAAAATGTAATACCATAATGTCAGATAATGGTACTAATATGTTTGGTGCAAAATAAGAATTGAGAAAATTGCATAGCTTAGCCCTTAATTCTAACTATGACATAGCAAATTTCTTAACATATGAGGTATAAACTGGAAACTGATTCCACCGGATACACTTAATTTGCGTGGTTTATGGAAAGCAGGCATTAAGTTATTTAAATACCATCTTAGAGGTATTGCTAATGCATTAATTATTAAATTTTCACTTATGCTATCAGCACTTTATTTCAAGATACGGCTATATGGTCCATGATAACTTTTAGAAATCAACCAGTAAACAATTAGCAGTGCATTTGGATACATAGCAGTGGTAGTACAAAATAAAGGGTTTTCATCCGCAGAGAACCCGTTGGCGCTTCGGGAAAGAACCCGTTGGCGCCGTTGCAATTTTTACTCGCCAAGAGATAAGCCGAGCCGTAAACGTGATTTATATATAGTGCATGTAAATTCAAATTAGCAGACAAAACAAAATATTAAGCATATGGTAGTAAAAATTCACAGATAATAAGCATGTAGATGTAAAACTAACCGGTTAAACGTGATATACGAAAATAAAGCTGTATTTTTCATAATACAAATAACCTTCAACAGTAATCTAATTTTCTTCAGTAGCATTGTTAACAAACTAGAACTTATACATTTTATTATTTTTCAAGACTAATTTGAACTGTATTCCTTACACCAGCAGTGGTTTGCTAATTTTGATGACCATGGGGATGCATCAAACTACTCTTGTCATCTTGGATAATCAATATTTTTTATTTCAATTTAATCAGCTATTTATGTCACATCTGCCATCCTCGGAAAGGTTATTGTTAGAAAAGCATTAACAATATAGTATCTTGTTAAAATTTTACACCATAAAAATTGGAGCCGTGAACCGGCATCTATCGACGAAAACTTCTTTAATTCTAACGAAAATATTTCTATCCATTCGTTGTTAAAAAATTCAGAAAAATAACGTGAAAATCAGAAAAAATAAAAAAAATAATAAATAAGAGAAGAAGAACATAAATCTTCGGAAAGGCGAATAACGACAGTGATAATTCAACAAAATGAACGCAAGAGGAATGGTTGCAACCTTCAAACAAGCGAATACGATGAATCTGATATGTTACCAGGTTTGAACTATTATCGCCAAAGTTGGCGATGTTTATATTTACCGGGTTCTCTGTGGAAGTGCTTCCCAAAATAAATTTTTATCTTCTGATTTTTATTATATTTGATACACAAGTTTCCCTGATAAAAGCCTACTGAATGAAGGTACACTGTGCAAAAAAACAACGGGACAGTTCTATATCTTCTGATTTACTGGGCCGATTGATGAAATTCAAATTATGTTTTTAATGTCTCGAAAGCATGACCTAGAATATGTATTAGATTTATGTATAGCATTGTGCTAACATAGGTATTTTGACATAAAATTAGACTTTCTGAAATAACATACCAATTTTTTCCTATATTTTGATTCTCTGACTCAAATTATGCCTAGATATTAAATTTTTTAATTTTTAGTGAGAAATTAAAAAATTTACCTTGTCGAATATTTTTCAGTTTGCGCCAAGAATAATTCATTTGGCTAACTTCTTAATTTATAGCAACCTATTTTTCCTTTGCCTTTCTTTTTTGTTGATGAGCGGGGGGAAAAGTGATCGTTCATACTCTCAAATAATTTTAACAAGTGTGTAAACCACATTTTTGTTATTATCACTTATAATAAATACACATTGATTGAGTTAGATGGATTGCACAATTTGGTTACTGTCTAATGATGAAAAGGATGTCATAAGATTGTTTCAGGACAAAGTAACAATTCATAGCAAGAGACTTTGTTCTCAAAATCATCTGATGAAGTTAACTTTTGACTCAAACAAAGCTCCTATTTAACGTTATTATGCACTTTCTTGCTGTGAAGAAAAAGGATTGAGAAGCAAAACATGGTTTGATAGCTGACATCTCTCTTTCCTCATTGCCATTCGTTTTATCCCTCTGTGATGTCAGGAATTGACATCAACTAAAATTTGCTAATTTCAGAAATCAATCATACAACCCTATTCGAGGGTTTATGCCGCAAAGCCAAAGAAGGTTTTCTAATTGCTGTGTTAAAACATTGATGATTGCTATTCAGGAAAACATAGCAAATGGCAGCATTATATTTTAAGATTTCTGGAAAGGATCCAAGAAAGAGGAATTAAGAAATGCTAGCTATCAACATTTAACTGTGAATTAGAGTTATAATTCTGTACAACCCAAAAACTGGGAGGCATGTTTTCCAAACTCTGAAACAATTGGGGGTAGTGCTAAATGACAAAATAAATACCAGCAGAGTACTGCTGGCCACCATTTAGACTCATATTTAATAGAATTTATGTGGCATTAAGTTACATTCAAAAACTGAAATTTTTTCTGTAATATAGAATGATATTTGTAATTTTATGACACCTGTTTAAATGAATTTTTGGATTATAATATGTCCGGTACTTAAAACTTGGCCACTCCTGACACATGTGTACTGTCTTTCGGAGAAAAGCTTTCACCTCTAGCCTGCAGCTGTCTTTGCCGTAGAAATAAGAATTTATCCATTTTGCATAGGGGTATCTGAAGAATTACTTTTAGTTTGCCATCTTGGTGCATATAATGATGATTTGGCAATATTTAATTTTTATTTGAGTTTCAATAAAATGCTTGTTGACCTTTGTCGGCGACCCCCAACATCAAATTTCTGAAAATGGTATCAGTGATGTAGGTAATCTTTGCAGCCAAACGTCTACCGCTTGAGGCAGTCATGCATTTGCTGTCCCTTTGATTATAATGACTAAAATATACTGAAAATAAGTTAGGGAAATAAATTAAATTTTTTTATTCTGAGAAAAATTTTATTCCACCATTTAAAATTATTTTGTTATTGCCTTGGAGGGGGGGGAACATTCAAAGATATCTTGAGGTCTACTTGATTGGTCATCTGCTTTAAGTATGTATATTTTATAAATACAAATAAATTTTTATAGTTCCTTAATACTTTCTAAATGTAAAATTACATAATTCTAAATCTATATAAAGAAGAAGTTTGTTCGCGATTCTCGGTCACTAGTAAGCTATCATCATGAAACATTCTGCAATTCTTTTCTAGATCCTGGGAAAGGTGATGTCCATTTTTTTCCCAAAAAAAGTAGCTAAACAGCAACGTTGAGGTAGCAGAAAAACCTGCAAAGCAGTTGGATAGATCTTACCTAGGCAGTTTGGCCACGGTGATTTGCTATTTTTTACATATTCATTTTTGTATATATCATTAGGTTAGTGATGCATGATATATATACGAGGGCTATCCAGAAAGTAGATTACGTTTTGGAATAAAAAAATAAACAAAGTATAGGAAACAAATTTTATTATATACAATGAAGCCACACTCAAATACTACTTTTCTACATAGTCACCATACAATTAAGGCATTTATCGTAGCGATGTACGAGCTTGGAAATTCCTTCGTCGAAAAATTCGGCCGCCTGCGCCTTCAACCACTTCGTTACCTCTTCTTGCAGCTGTGCGTCGTCATCAAAACGCTGCATAGCCAGCCATTCTTCATTGCTGGGAATAGGTGGAAGTCGCTCGGTGCCGGTCGGACTGTACGGCGGATGAGGAACAATTCCCATTAAAAGATTCAAGAACTTTACGAGTGACATTTGCCGTGTGGGGCCGGGCGTTGTCGTGAATCAACAAGATCTTAAGCTCAACATCCTCTGCGCTGTTTGAATTGCTCTTCTGAGTTTTTGTAGAGTTTGGCAATACCTTTGAGGTTTATGTATGCTCTTTCCAGGAAGTCCCCAAATTTACACCTTTTCTGTCCAAAAAACGTCGCCATCATCTTCCTTGCCGACATTGTTTGCTGCATTTCTTGGGTTTTGGGGAGAACTTGTGTGCCCCCACTGCATGATTGCATTTCGTTTCACAGTTCACATGTTTCGCACATGTTTCGTCACAGTAACGATGCGATCGGTAAAGAGTCACATCCTTATGGTAAGCTCCAAAAAGTTCAACGCTGCAGCCATTCCTGATTTTTGTGGTCCTCTGTCAAGATTTTTGGAATCCATCTTGCACAAAACTTTGGTAACCAAGCTTTCGCTATGATTTCGTGCAACAAACTTCGCGAAATTTGTGGAAAACTCAAAGAAAGTTCCGTTATTGTGAATTTCGATTTCACGGACTTTAGCATCGACTTTTTCGAAAATCGGAGGTCACTATGCTGGGTCTCCCACTTCGTCTTCGTCGTGAACATTGGTCGGCCATTTTGAAATCTTATGACCCACTGACGCACTCCACTTCAGTGATATGTTGTCCCCCATACACTTCACGAAGCTGCCGATAGATTTCTATCGGTTTACAGTTTTTGCGTCAGAAACCTTATTACTGAGCGCACCTCGCAGCTCGCGGGATTTTCAATTAACGCAGACATTTCAAACCGTCACGATCTGAACGGAGCACAGCACGAACCTCTCACTCACAGCACGACTAGTGGCATTAGTTACATTCAAAAACTGAAATTTTTTCTGTAATATAGAATGATATTTGTAATTTTA